GCATAAAGCAAAAGTACGTACACACTCACGACTTCTAGTTAATTGATATTTTGTATGACGTTCTTCTTAATTGTTAGATGAATGCTTTCGTTTCGATCATTCTATTTATCCTGTCTTCCTACACCTTATCTTTTTATTATTACATTGTGTCTTGATTCATTTACTTTATTTTGAGTCGGAGTCTACCGGAAATAACTTCTCTACTCTACAATAAGCAGTCTGAAAGCTACATGGTCATAAGTAGTCAGTTGATCATCCTATGTCAAAAAATTGTACTTGTGTACGATATATACGTAGAATATTATGTTTTTATGAGTAATAACACATATTTGAACACCCTTTATCGAAATTCTTTTTTCACTTCTGCAAATTTTAATGCTCCTGAAAAAATTCTTAGCTTCGTCAACTGTTCACAGGATAGGGGTAAGTCTGCCTACACTCTACGCTCCTAAACCCTACTTTTTGGATTTACACTGACTTGTTATTGTTTATCTGTTTTTTTTCTTCTTAATTTCTTAATTACTGAGTGCATAGCTTGTCATGTGTGCGACACAAATTTAATCTACAGTGATTGATAGTTTGAAAATCCACCTTTCACGCCAATGTCTTGTTCATAATTTTTTTTTTCTTTCTCTTTTTAGGAGGAACAAGAGCGAATATAATTAAAGAAAGACCAATCTTTCAAATGCAGGACCTTAATATAGAAGAGATTAGAAAAAGAAGTATCTTACGAAGTATAGATCTCGCTAATTTCTTTGCTAACTTATTGTATATTAGGAGAACACAATTCAATATGTAGCAATATTTATTCTAAATTTCAATTAATAGGCAAGATCAAACTCTTTTGGACTACATATGGATATATTCTTATTAAGGTGTAAATTAATTAATTGACAGGTGATTAATGAAACACTGCGATTGTGCTAGCGTATCATCATGGCTCGCTACGAGAGGCAAAAAACACTAACTGTTAACATTGAAATGGTTCCTACCTGCCTTGGACTTAATTATTTCTACTTATATATAATGAGAGGCTGAATCCAGGATTTCAATTTTATGGGTTCGGGATCTAATCGTTTGAAGTTTTACTGCAGGGTGTTCTAAATGTAGTAATAATTTATACTATTCAACAAATGTTAAAGAACAAATACAAGAGGTTCGAAACCAAAGCTACTGGTTCGGCCAACCTTGTTCCCGCACTCCAGCTCCCACCCCTGATTAAATCCCACCTTTCAACTTCATTTATTATGGCAGGGTACGCCAATACCAAGGATGGAAGGTTTGTATTGTCAAGAAGTATTCATATGGAATCCTGATTACTTATGTGGAAAACCTAAGGAATTCAATTCCTTCAAGATGGGATTTAAGGAATATATAAATTTGTGTTCAAAAATAAATTGTTTCTTTACTTAGATAATAATATCCAAATAATTAGTTATAATGAAAATTTAATTTGTACAGGAACTTGAAACCAAGCCAGCCATATTCCATTTGCAGTTTATGTTGGAATTTACATTTCCTTGGCTGTTATCTTAACCCCGGGCCTAGTTTACTGGTTACTGTTATGCATCCATGTCATTTATCTTTTGGTTGTTCATGCTTTGTTACTATTACGGTTTCTACTGGAGTTACTAATGGAATTGTTCCTCCTCCCTTACTTCTTTTTCTGAGCCGAGGGTCTATCGGAAACAGTCTCTCTGCCCTATCGGGGTAGTGTATTAAGGTCTGCGTACACACTTATCCTCCCCAAAAACCCTACTGTGTAGGATTTTTACTGGTAGTTTTGTTGTTGGTTGTTGTTGTTGTTGGAAGAGGCCCAAAATGTGCCCACGCGCAAATTAGCCAGACTTGAAGTTTCAGTATATTCTTCAATTACTTTCTTCTTTGCTACAGGTATATATTAATTAGCCCTTCAATGAGCATCTCAATTTCAGTAATTATAGTACGTCAAATCTCTGTATAACAACGTCATTTGTTTCAGATATTTTTTGGATGTTATAGCCAAATTACTGTATATAGAAAAACATGATTACAACAAAAACATGAAATTGGTTCTGGAAAAACTGAGCTTTATTAGTTTGTTGAAGTGTTGTTATATAAGGATGTTGTTATAGAGAGCCTAACTGTACTCTAATATATCCATAAAATAATTAAGAAGAAGAAAAATTAATACTCCCTCCGATCCACAAGTAAATCAATTTTTTGTCTTTGACACACCTTCTTAATGAAATACAAATACTCCTAGAAAACAAATAAAAGTATTTGACTAAAGTACCCCTTAATTAAATTTGCATTACTGTTAAACTTTCCACATTGGGATATGTAAATGGGCAAATTGAAAACTATAGTTAATTCATTATGATTAATGTAAAAAAGACACTTAGACGGACCAAAATAAAAAAGCGTGTAAAAATATTCATTTATTATGAAATCGCGAGGGATAATTAATACTGATGTGCTATATATGATGTTGCCTAGAGCAAGGCTTAATCCAGAGTAAGCAGATTAAACGTCTTAAAAATTGTCTTGTGAGATTGAAGAAGCCGCTCCCAAACATCATGTTTATGGAAAGGAAATTAAGTCAGGGATGGCAATGGGCCGGGCAGGCGGGTTTTGGCAAATCCACAAAAATTTCAAACCGCCCCGCATAGCTATTTTTTTCAATTTTCAACCCGCCCCCGCCCCACTGACCGCCCTGCCCCGCACCCACTTAATTATCTTTTCTTTTTTCTCCAATTTTTTTCAGAACTGTCTCGCAAAGGCGATTATGCCCAGAAAGGAGAGTTAGAGGTTATTTACCAAGGTAAATCTAAAAGAGGCATTAATTAGCATAAATAAACAAGTGACATTGATTTCAAAAACTGGAAGAAAACGGTTCACAGATTTAACAGCAAAATTCAAAAGAAATTCTCGTCAGAAAAAAACAAAATAAACCAATATAAGAAAAAAAAACATCAGATGTTTGCCATTGGATATGAGCTACTAGTAATATGAGTATTCAATTCAAGTTTCCATTCAACTGCATTTTTCTACGGTTCCCGAATGCTAAAATAGATTCCCCGCATTAAACCCGCAACCCGCCCCATCCCGCTTTAAAAATTTTAAAAATTATTTTAACCCGTCCGCCCGGCACCGCATAACAATAAACCCGCCCCGCCCCGCCCCCGCCCCGGCCATCAAACAAAACCCGTCCCGCCCCGCATCTACCCCCCCTATTGCCATCCCTAAAACTTAACATTTTCCAGGTTTACAATAATATTTGCATTGCCCTTTTCACTGTTGTCTATGTATATGTAATATTGGATATGCGTGAGCAATGTATAGGTTAATTGCTATCTTTAATTCATTTTATCAATAATTAAGTTTAGGTCGTAGGTTTCGAAAAAGTGTGATCCAAATTCATAAGTGAGCCATCATTTAAAGGCTCACCTTCCATGTTTTTTACCTTTTGTCTTCCCTCAATTCACTAAGTTTAAACTCGGTTGAATTTGTGTCTTTCTCTTCTCTGTATATATTAGGTAACTCCTATAACCTGTTCGATTTCAATATTTTGTATACGCTTAATGAAGATGCTAGAGTTTAAAAAAATATAAATGTTTAAAAAGAATGCCTTGTGATCACGCCCCAACTATGCCTTAAAAAAAAGGACAATGCGGTCGCTGCAATATAATCCGGTTTACAAGTCCGGAGTCGAATCCCACAGAGAACTGAGGTTTAGCTACAGCTGTTCACTTATCACGAGAAGACAAGGCTTGAAACAATTCCTAACTTATAGATATTAAGGATTCTTGTGTTTAACTACTTAAAACTAACAAAAATTAAAATAAGTAAAGTTAACAACTAAAGATACCGAGGTTAAGAGAAAAGATTAAGGAGGTCTAGAGTTATGATTTCCCCAAATTGTCGGAAATCCTTCCTGCTATGTCTTCTATAATTATTCGCCTAAGTATTCTCTACCGATCATAGCACTCTATTACCGTAAATCCTCCCGAAGTAATTACGATAATTTACTAACGCACCTCCCGAGATACGCAGCTGGTTTTAATACAACTCACTTTAGATTGCACCCAAGGCTTCGTTCGTACTTAATTATCAAATTTGACCGGCCGAAACGATCCCGGGCTTAATTTCCTTGAGCTTTTACGTCAGACTTCAAAGCTTCAAATCACTTT